ACAATCGTCATCACCATCATCTCCACCGTGATCACCGACATCATGCAGCACCACCCTTGCCCACAGATGCAGCAGCATAAGCAGTGCCATCAGTACACCAATCAACATCGTCAGCATCATCAACGCCATCGTCGACTGCATAATCATCATCAGCAGCACCAGGGGTGTTCATATCAGCACCATCATCAGCATGCCCTTATGATGATGGTGATGCTTCTGATGACGACCACGATGACGACAGTAGTGCTGGTGATGATGATGTTGATGATAAGGGTGGTGATGGTGGTAAGGATAATGATGATGATGGTGATGATGCGATGCTGGCGCTGGTGATGGTGATGCTGCTGATGTAGGTGATGCTGATGATGGTGATGCTAGCGATGATAATGATGTTCCTCGCGTCTAAAGGGGTCAGGAGCTCCTCGCTCTAACTGCCCCTCGGACTGGGGCGTCTCCCTATGGCCCTGCGGAGGCAACGCTCGGTCTCGCGCGCCCCGGCACACCGACGCAGATTCACCCGAGTGCAGAGAGGCCGCCTCCCGCCCCGGCCGAAGCAAGCGGAAAGACGCGACATCCGAGCAGACACGGCGACTCAGCCCGCACCCCCGCGGGCTGGCACGCAGCTGGCGCTGCTAGGCGATATTTCAGGCGAGCTCAGACGACCAAAGGCCTGGGGACCTCGACTGGGACCCCCAGGAGGATGCCGGCCGCTACGCGGGCGCTCCGAGAGGCGGCACCCGCATCCAGGAGCTCGTCCGCCGACAGGAAGCAAAGGCCCTCGCCCTCGCACAAGTCCAGGTCGAAGTCACGCTTGTACGGGCCCTGCGGGTCGCCCCGCCTGCCTTCGCAGCGGCCCTCGTCTTCGCACAGGTCCAAGCCGAACTCGCGCTTGCGCATGCCCTTCAATTTCTCCCAGCCCGTCGTCGCAGAGGCTCTCGTCCTCGCCCAAGTCCAGACCGAATTTGCGCGCGCGCAGGCCCTTCAGGTCGTCCCGCCTGTCCTCGCGGAGGCTCGCGTCCGCGCCCAGGTCCAGGCCGGGCCCGCGCACGCACGGGCCCTTCGGGCCCTCCAGCCTGCCCTCGCAGAGGCCCTTGCCCTCGCCCAGGTCCATGCCGAACTTGAGCCAGCACGCGCCCACCGGATCTTCCAGCCTGTCCTCGGAGGAGCTCTCGGCGTCAACCAGGCCCAGACCGACTTCGCGTTTGTGCGGGCCTTTCATGTCGCCCAGCCTGCCCTCGCAGAGGCCATCGCCCCCGCCCAGGTCCAGGCCGAACTTGCGCATGAGCCCGCCCTTCAGGCCCTCCAGCCCGTCCTCGCAGAGGCCCTCGTCCCCGACCAGGTCCAAGCAGAACTGGCGCCCGCGCCTGCCCTTCATGTCCTCAGCCAGCCTGCCCTCGCAGAGGCCTTCGTCCTCGTCCAGGCCCAAGCCGAATTTGCGCGCGCGCAGGCTCTTCGCGCCCCCCACCCTGCCCTCGAAAATACCCTCGCCCGCGCCCAGGTCCAGGCCGAACTCGCCAGCCTGCCCTCGCAGAGGCCCGCGTCCTCGCCCAGGTCCAGGCCGAATGCGCGCTCGCGCATGCCCTTAGAAGTGTTCCAGCCTGTCCTCGCAGGGCTCTCGTCCTCGTCCAGGTCCAGACCGTCAAGGTCCACGCCGAACTTGCGCCTGTACACGCACTTCAGGTCCTCACATCTGTCCTCGGAGAGGCTCTCGGCGTAGTCCAGGTCCAGACCGACCTCGCGCTTGCGCAGGCCCTTCGCGTCGTCTAGCCTATCCTCGCAAAGGCCCTCGTCCTTGTCCAGGTCCAGGCCGAACTTGCGCTTCAACCTGCCCGTCAGGTCCTCCAGCCTGTCCTCGCAGAGGCCCTCGTCCACGGCGCCGAGAGCCTGGCAGTGCTCTTCGGGTGCCGCGTCGAAGTCGCCGAAGGACACCACGGCCGCCTCAGGGGGCGGGGGCAGACAGCCCAGGCGGGGGCCTGCGGCGGCCCGCGCTATGCCCGCTGCGGGCGCTCGCGCGAATCCGCCCGCAGGGGCCAGCAGCGCGTGCCACGCGGCCTTCCGCCGCCGCCTCATTGCGCCAGGGAAGCGATCTCACACGGCGGCGAGGCGCAAGGCAGGGCGCGCCGCAGCCTCGCGGTCCTGCCAAGAACCTCGGCCGCCTCTGTCCGCCTTGCTGACTGCCGACTCGGCCGCGAAGAGGCGCCGTGCCAGCGCCCGAAGGCGGGCCGCCGAGGCGCCTACCTCGGCCTCCTGCTCCGTGCGCAGTTCACTGACACGCCTGATGGGCCGCCCCGCCGTCGCTCCTGTGGGCACCCCCCCGTAGCCATTGCTCATCTCCCAATCGCGCGCCGCTGACAGCAGAGCGTGGGCGCCTGCGAGAGATCTGGAGAAGACAACACTTGATCCAACATGGCAACGGATGATGATGATGATGATGATGATGATGATGATGATGATGATGCTGATGCTGATGCTGATGATGATGATGATGATGATGCTGATGCTGATGCTGATGATGATGCTGATGCTGATGCTGATGCTGATGATGCTGATGATGATGATGATGATGCTGGTGATGATGAATTTGGTGATGATGGCGATGATGATGATGATGATGATGATGATGATGATGTTGATGATGATGATGATGATGATGATGATGGTGATGACGATGATGGTGATGGTGATGATGATGATGATGATCGTGGTGGTCATGATGATGATGGGACGACGACGACGACGACGATGGTGATGATGTGATGATGGTGATGATGGTGATGAGGAGTATGATGGTAATGGCGATGGTGACGGTGATATTGATGGTGATGGTGGTGGTGGTGATGGTGCTGATGCTGATGATGTTGATTATGATGATCATGATGATGAAGCCGATGCGGATGACAATAATAAAAGTAATGGGAATAATCCGCCGGCCCCCTTGTGGGGCCACCAGGCTGTAGGACCAGGGTGTGCTGTTCCCTGTACCAGTGCCAGTTTCCAGTTTCCGTTGTTACAGTTCTGCTTCTTGTTGTTTACTGTTCCTTGTGGTATTTGTAGTAGACCGCGCGAGGGGGGGAGCAGAAAACCGCCCTGGTTAGCACCTCCGGGGAGGGGCCTCAGAATTTCTGGGGGAGTCGAAAATGACACCCCTTACCCAGGCTGGCGGGGTCAGGGTCCAAAAACCCATGGGATTTGCCACATGTCTAAAAATTCGGTGGCACCCCTCACGCAGATCGCCAGGGTCAGGGTCCAAGGTCAGGGTCTAAGAACACATAGGATTTGCCACATTTCTGAAAGTCGGTGGCACCCCTCACGCAGATCGGCGGGGTCAGGGTCCAAAAACACATGGGATTTGCAACATTTCTAAAATTCGGCGGCACCCCTCACGTAGATCGACAGGATCAGGGTCCAAAAACATATTAGATGTGCCACATTTCTAAAATTCTGCACGCAGATCGGCTGGGTCAGGGTCCAAAAAAACACATGGTATTTGCCACATGTTTCAAGTTCGGTAACACCCCTCCCTCACGCAGATCGCTGGGGTCAGGGTCGAAAAACCAATTGGATTTGCCACATTCCTAAAATACGGCGGCACCTCTCACGCAGACCGGCAGGGTCAGAGTCGGAAAACCATAGGATTTGTTAAATTTCTAAAATCCGGTGGCACCACCCCTCACGCAGATCGGCTGGGTCAGGGTCGAAAAAACATATGGGATTCGCCACATATCTAAAAATTCGGCAGCACCCCTCACGCAGATCGGCGAGGTCAGGGTCGAAAAACCTATGGGATTTGCCACATTTCTCAAATTCGGCAGCACCCCTCACGCAGATCGGTGGGGTCAGGGTCGAAAAACCAATGGGATTTGCCACATTTCTAAAAATCGGCGGCACCCCTCACGCAGATCGGCAGGATCGGGGTCCAAAACATATTGGATGTGCCACATTTCTTAAATTCTGCACGCAGGTCGGCTGGGTCAGGGTAAAAAACACATGGGATTTGCCACATATCTAAAAATTCGGAGGCACCCCTCACGTAGATCGGCGGGGTCAGGGCCCAAAAACAAAAGGTTTTTGCCACAGTTCTGAAATTTGGTGGCACTCCTCATGCAGATCGGCGGGGTCAGGGTCCAAAACAACATGGGATGTGCCACATTTCTGAAATTCGGTGGCACTCCTCATGCAGATCGGTGGGGTCAGGGTGAAAAAAACACATGGGATGTGCAACAGTTCAATACTTCGTAGAAAAACTTGTTGCACAGCATACGCGAGCACGCTCGAAATGCATCACCGAATTCAACAATATCATCAGAATATCACTTTGTCTTGCACGTTACTCATCGTCTTCGCGGAAGTCCCGACGCTGCTTCACGGCGGCGCCAAGGCCTCATGATTTCGCTCTTGCATTGCCCATTATCCGAGAGAGGGGGCTGGCGGCACCAGGCGAAGCCCTTACGATATAGCAAGAATAAAAAACAGCCACCACAATACGAATACGAATGATGATGATGTTGATGTTGATGATGATGCTGATGCTGATGATGATGATGATGATGATGAGGAGGATGATGATGAGGATGATGATGATGATGATGAAGCTGATGATAGTAAGATTCATACAAATGATGATACTAATAATAATAGCAATAATAATATTACTAATAATAATAAAAATAATAACACAAATAATAATAATAATAATAATAATAATAATAATAATACCAATAATAATAATAACAACAATAATAATAACAATAATAACAATACTAACAATAATAACAATAACAATAACAATAATACTAATGATAACAACGCTGATGAGACTGACGATGCTGCTGATGATGACGATGATAGTGATGCTCATGACGACGACGAGGAAGAGGGTGAGGAAGAGGACGACGACGAGGAGGAGGCCGAGGAGGGGGACGCGGGCGATGAACCATCGCCCGCGATCTCCTCCTCTTCCTCCTCCCGACCGCCCAGGCATGGAGGGCCGAGGGCACCGCCATCTGGCGCTGGCGGATGGTCGGCTCCACGGTGACCTCCCAGAGCCTGTGCTTGTAGTCGTGCAGCACCCGGCGCTGGTCCCGCATGTCGGAGATGCCCTGCGCGAGCGAGGAGGGGCAGACGAGGGGCAAGGAGAAGGGGGAACGAGCGGGATGGGGGAGGGGGTGGAGAAGGAACAGGAGGAGGAGGAGGAGGAGCAAGAAGGGGAGAAGGAATTAGAGGAAGACGGAGGAGCTCGAGGAGGTCTGAAGCAGTAGAAGAGAGGAGGACGAGGGGAAGGAGCAGTGGGGTGAGGGAGGGGCGAGGGACAGTGAGAAGAGGAGGAGGAGGAGGAGAAGGAGAAGAAGGAGGGAATGCAGATGAGGAGGAGGAGGAGGAGGAGGAGGAGGAGGAGGAGGAGGAGGGGGAGGAAGAGGAAGGACGGGGAATAGAGGGAGGAAGGAGGGAGGAGGGAGAGACAGGGAAGAGAGAGAGAGAGAGAGGAGGAGGAGGAGGAGGAGGAGGAGGGAGAGAGAAGGAGGAGGGAGGCGGGAGAGAGTGAGAGAGAGAGAGAGAAATAAAAAAAAAGAAATAAAGAAAGAAAGAAAGAGGGAGAGAGAGAGAGAGAACAAAAAAAAGAGGAAGAGGAGTAGGAAAGAGGAAGGAGAGAGGAGGAAAGAGGGAAGAGGGAGGAGGAAGGAGGAGAAGGAGAAGGTGAAGCCTGGCGGAGGAGGAGGAGGAGGAGGAGGAGGAGGAGGAGGACAGGGAAGAGGTGAAGCCAGGAACCAAGCGGAGGGAAGAAATAGGAGAGAAAACATCGTTAGACCGATCCAGGACCCCCAGAGTGCCAGGGTAACTTGAGTAGCACCACCAACCTGTTCCCTCGAGGAGTGGACGGATGTCGCAAAACCCAACGGCGAGAGCACTTATCCCCACTCAAGAGGGTAGATCGGACAGCGGGGCCAAGGCTTTCCCAGTTAGGGCGGAGATAGGTCTAACGATGATGATACAAAGAAAGAGAGAAAGAGGAGATGAGGAGGAAGAAGGGGAGAGGAGGGGGGAAGGAGAGGAGGCAGGGAGGGAGGGGGGGAGGGGGAGGGAGGACGAGGGTAACAACAAAAAACGCATAAACGTAAATTGTCGAAGGTACGCGCGGATCTCCTGGATGAGCGCGTGACATCTCGCGCGGAGCGCGCCAAGGGCGGCGCCAGGGGGTCCAGCGCAGATCCAGGAAATCCGAACGGACCTCCGACAAGTTGTGCTAATGTAGTTTATTTTCGAGTGGGAGGGGGGTCGGAAGGACAGAAAACGAGGACCATGACCAAGACTGAGCGCGGAAACATCGATGGCGATCGTGATCGCCGTCCGTCTTGGCTATCGTCAATTCGTAGATCCTCCTCGCGAATCTGCGACGCCGGCATGGACCATGGCCTGACTACCTACCAGACCACCCCAGCCCAACCCGAAGACCCGACTTTCGCCCGAATCTCGGGTTGGGGGGGGCACGGGCTTCATATGTGTTTTTTCAACGTCCCCCGACCCCCCCGACTGAGGACACATCGGGGCCTTCGGGTCGGGTTGGAGTGGTTTGGTGGGCGGTGAGGGACCTGCTGGATCTTGCGGGAGTGGTCGTGCAGCTCGTCGTTGTACTGCTTGCGGCACGCCCGGACCTCGCTGTCGCTGAACGCGTGCACGTCGTGGCGGTCCTTGGGACCCGTGCCCCGGGGCAGGTGCCGCGCGACGATCTCCCGGCACCGCGAGTCGCTCTTGCCCTTCCGCTTCAGGCGCTCCTGCGACAAGATGACGGTAGGACGAACGGCCAGGACCAGTCAGCATCGGGCTGGCAGATCAAGTCGAGGCGAAGGGTGCACCGGATCGGGAGGCATCGGCACGGAATCGATTTCTCGAGTCGGATCGGCCGCGCCAGGATGCACCACGACGACTTACAAGCATCGGGCCGCGTCGGATAGTCGAAGCATCGGAGCCAAGCCGGATCGGGCCGGCCAGAATCGACGCCGAATCAGATCCATCGGCTCGAAGCGGGCCCTGTGCGGTCAGGAATCGTTGCTCCGTGTGTGCGTGTGTGTGTGTGTGTGTGTGTCGCGGCGGCGGCCCTGGCGAGACACGCTGTGCCCTGCGAGCTGACTGCGTGTCGCTCCGCTCCGCGGGGCGGGAGGCTGGGAAAGGCTCGGGATGCTGACGCTCGGGGACCAGGACTTGGCTGGCGTGTCGCGCCGACGCGTGGTGGGCCAGAACCGGCAGCGCGACACGCTCATCAGGCAGATGCTCCTGACAGTAAACTCGGATCGAGATTCGGAGGAGGAAGGAGGGAGGAAAAGGAGGAGAGAGGAGAGAGGAGGAGGAGGAGGAGGAGGAGGAGGAGGAGGAGGAGGAGGAGGAGGAGGAGGAGGAGGAGGAGGAGGAGGAGGAGGAGGAGGAGGAGGGAGGAGGGAGGAGGGAGGAGGAGGGAGGAGGAGGAGGAGGAGGGAGGAGGAGGAGGAGGGGGAGGAGGAGAGAGGAGGAGGGAGG